GGCTACTACACTTCCCCCCTCACTTACAAGAAAGGAGAATGTAGATGCTTTTTTTTATTTTTTATTTATGTTCATAAAAACTTGCAAAGAAAGTTAATAAGGGGGTTCCAAAATCATATTTAATAGGATAATTGTAATAAAACTAGGTTGGTAAGCAGGTATCAATTGGCTGTGTCCAAACGTCCGTCCTAACCCTTAACCCCTCGATCATCATATCGACCCTTTATGGTGCACTTAGTAAAATTGACCATTCAGATGATCATTACTTCTCGCTCCCCATTGGTCACGTAACTCTGGCTTCTCTGTCTGTGCCTGCACCATGTTTGTTCTCTTTCACCCTAAAACAAATCCCACAATATTTGGGAGGAGTGCTCTTGCTAAGCTTTCTGGGATATGTCTGCTTGTCTAGTGACCATCGATGTACACTAGTAAGGTGTATTGTAGGAAATTTTAAGTCCACTACATTTCCATCCATTAGACATTCAGACACTGATATAAAATGGCCTAACTCTATATAGTGTTCTATGGGGCTTTCTTATGTTACTCATTAAAAAGCAGATGTGTACTTATCAATAAAATAACCCCCCCAAAAATCCAAAGAAATATAACAAAGATCATTTTCAGATTCTTTTTTTTTTTTTCAAATGTTATTCTGCATATACTGTACATTAAAACTTTGACCCTGCTCATGATGTCAAACTGACACTCTCACTTTTTGCTAGCAATGATAATATACCCTTATATATGTGTGTGTGTTTAGAGTCATAAAATTTAATTTTAAGATACTTAATTTCTTTAAAAACTCTAAATAGGGATGTACAAGTGAGGCATAAAGGGATGGGTTGTCAGGATTTGGTTGAGGTTTGAGGACCCAAATGCAGAGGCAGGGATGCAGAGGTGAGTTTCTTGTTTGTTTAATGAAAGGTTAACTGAACATAGAGGCAGGAAATTCAAAAATCTAACATGAAAACAAAGTCAAACAAATCAGAAACCATGGAGACATCTTGCGAAAAACAATCATAAGGAGGAGGACACAGAGAGACGGAGTTGGATGAAGTTAGACGAGGAACCAGCACTGAGGAACTGAACAGAGAGTGTATTTATGGGAGACTGAAACAAAAAGAGAACTAACGAGCAGATTGGGAGCAGGTGTGAACAGAGCAGAACAGGAAAGGAGCTAGGGAAAAAGGAGAACAAAAAATAAAAACCTAAAAACTGAAAATAACCAGAAAACACAACAAAATACAAATTAAACCACTAAAACTAGAAAACATGGAACAAAGTAAAACAGAATACTGTAAAGAAAACATAACAGAACCAAGACTGTGACATGGGTAGGAGCAATGGGCAGAGAGGGGATACCAGAGTAAAAGAGTGATGCTGACAAACCATGTATGACATGTCCAAGGTCTATCACTAATTATGCCCCACTGCTACAAACTGTTCCTCAACCATGATCAGCTGAAACAGGACACAACAGAAAAGACGACAACTGTTACTACCTCAACAACCCTTTACCAATGTAAGAAAGCTTATGGTAATAAGAAAGCCGATGAAGTTGTATCATCTCATACAGGTATGGAAACAGACTTCTAGGAGTTATTGAATATCTTCTGTGTTGTCTATCATTGCCATTGTTTCATTTTCTCTCTTTTAATACCCCCTTTCCTGTCTCCATCTCTCTCTTAGTTTGTATCCTATTTCTTTTACAATTTGCTTTCCTTCTAGACTGTACATGATTTTATTTCATAAATAATTTTCAATTAAGTTTAATATACAAGTATCAAGCAGAACCTCATGGCAACAGTCATATTGGTCTTCCTCTGAAAGCAAAGCTAGCTGAGGGACATCTATTCCCAGAGCTATATTGGCAAAACAGACTAGCACACATACACACAAAAAAAGCCCATGGTAAGTTTTTAAAACTGATCTTTTTCTCAATTTTCTTACACAAATGTAAATCTTTAGTTTATAAGAAGCTGTAGAAATATTTTGTTCTAGCAAAAATGGTTGTATTATATGGCAACAACACTGTGCATAACAAATTTAGGAAAAACAATTACATCTTCCAGAGTAACATGAACAGCTATGTTAATCAACCAGAGAAAGCCGATTTAACTTGGCATCTTTATAGCCTCAAGCAGTCTTCTGACTCTCCAGCACATCAACTGATGATTCTCCAACAGAATGTCTTCACTGAGGAAAAACATCTTGTTTTCCAAAACCACTGTCTTATAAGAAGCTTTGATAAAAGCAAATGACAGAGATTTAACTGATGTTTGCTCCAGGTGGAGAACACATTCAACCAATAAGGGTGTAGGATGGTGGAACATCTCACAGCTGGATGTGGTGAAGTCTGTGAGTCATCCATTGAAACCCGGAGCTGGATTGTAAAGATAATAACTTCAAAGACAGAGAGTGGAAAAATAAAATAAAGAAGCCAGCTTAAAAAGCGGTGGGTGTTTAGTTTGGAGTCCATTGCTAACTCTGTGATGTGGTGCAGCTTACTGGTCTCAGCAAGCTAACAAACGTCACACTGTAAGCATCCGAAGTGCTAATAAATAATCTAGAATCTCATGTCAAATGCTAAAAATGCCAAAGCTGTGATATAATTTCTTTAAGTCTATCGCAAAAACACTGGAGACATTTGATTTACCGTTATGATGAACTTAATCGCTAGGGAATCAGCTTAAATATTTTTTGTATGTTTGGAAAAGAGGGAAGGCACACTTCAAAATACAATATCCAACCATACGTGTTCTCATTGAGTTTAATATTCTATTAAGTTAAAGCTTCTGCCGGTATTTCATTTAGAATTAGGTATTTGCTTGAAGTAATCAATTAAATACTATTTATTATTATATTATTTGATAAAAAAAAAGCTGCAAATCAAAATCTGAAAAAAGGTCAACTTCAAAAATATAGTTAGAAATATTTTGTTTGTTTTTTGTTATCATTTTTTATTTGCTTGTGTTTTTAACAAAACCGGATGTTTTGCAACTGTCGAAATACCTAACAATTCTTTTATAATATCTGTAAAGGACTTTTTTAATAATTTCAACCAATTACAGTAGTAGCCATTCAAAATTTCCCAACTTTCCTTGATGGGCCCTTGGCTGGTCCCCTAAGATTCCTTTTTTAAACACCATTCTTTTTACTAAAATATTCCTTCGTTCATGACTTGTGGACATTAAGATCTAAAGAGAAGCACCTTCTTCTGGTCAGACCCTGTAGTTCAGTGAAAGGGTGAAGGTGGAGTAATAAAAATATGCACACCCAGGAGAAGGAGGGGGTCACTCCGGTGACTGGAGGTTGGCTGCCATTCGGCTGGCGTTTTACATTGGCATTTTGAATGGCTGCTCCAGTAACCGCGACTCCATGTTTTTCTCTTTGGTCCGAGTATGATTTTTATTCATCACCCTGTAAAAATCAAAATCTTGTCGAACATGCATTCCTGATCTCTGCTGATCAACTTATGTCGAGATAAAAAATGGGAAGTAAGAAAAGGAGTGCAGTAGCCTGGTTTACCTTCTCATACACAGAGAGTAGGATGATGTGGTTGGCAAAAGAGATCTCCAGGGATCAATTGTGAGGTTTGTTTTTCATCTTTACATGTGCTGTAAATAAACATGGATTGTGTTGTATGTAGGCAACATAAAAGAAATATGACTCTATAAAAAATGATTACAAATCACAGGAGGCTTTCCTATGTTTTGGCTGCTTATTAACTGCTGCTTGCCTGACGAGACCTGTTCTACTTAATGTTCCATGTATATCTATACGGACATGGGCCATGCAGATATGCAATCGTATCACAATATTTCCGAATATAAATTGCAATGATGTAGTATAAACGGCGATAATGTGTCATTTGTATGATATATTACAATACAGTTTTGGCTGAAAATTTAAAATAAAAATCTAAATTTACATAAGAGAATAACTATAGATCAAATTTACAACTAAAACCAGATTTCTTATTCCAATAACAGAGAGTACTGTAACGGCACTGTGTTGCTAAATCATACATACTGTATAATATTGTATATGAACGCATCATTGCACAATATATTACAACACATTAGTATTCAATTGATATTGTAAAAGGGACATATGATATTTAGTTGTGCTCTTATGGTACACATATTGAAAAAGCAAACTGCAGAAGTTACAATTGTTGCCATTTATTTTATTTTAAAGTGTTTGCAAAGTAATCAATTAGCTGTCATAAGTCTTAATAATTAAGTTTTAATAATTAATTTCTAAACCCATAGGTTAACAAAATTAAACAAAAATGGGTCCAAATGCTTGACCATCTCAATTTTCTTTCAGTAGTGGTGCAAAAGTGAATGAATCACTACTTCTGCCTAGCGTAACATGAGATTAAGTTTAGTTATTATAAAAAAAATGCATTGCTTTTAAAAAGAACGCGGCTATATGGTTGTTGTGAAACAGTCACTCTGATGTAAGCTGAGGATTCAGTGTCAGAGCAGATGTGTAATAGATTTGCAGAATAACACAATCTATTGAGTGACGCATTATTCAGAGTACAGTGGTCCTTCAATGTGTACAAAAATAATAGATGCTTGCATTGAACTTATTAGTGTCAACAATTATTTTACAAACACACCTCACACACGCACACAAAGATACACGTTCTAATACAGCCTTTCTGCTTACGTGCCCACTTAGACTTCTGACAATCCAATCTGTCCGCATTCACTACAGCATGAAGAACAATGTAGGCAATGCTATTTGTCTCTGCCAGACATAGTTAAGCGCTAGTTTGTAGTGCCTAGGCTAAAAAAAAAAAAGAAAAAAAAAAGTGATTCGTAAAGCAGTGCCTCCTGGTCTCAGAGCCCTTTTTAATTAAACAGCATTTACAACATGATTCAAGGCCCTTACTGTCTCATTTGAACTTTACGTCACTTAATGCTACCGGTGTTTACACAGTTATCAGATTAGGGAATACATATTTGCTTCACTTAGTAATTTCTTACCTTTCACCACTCAAGCAATCTTCCAAGCAGATCAACAGCTGTAACATGAGAAGAAAAAAAACAAAACAGAGTTGATTATAGTGTATTTAGACTCATGTAAGAGCTGGTTTAAATAAGAAAAAAGTCTAATGCCATTTCCTTGAAAGCCTCAGAAGGAATTGAATCCAAAAGTAATGATATGCTGCCTCGCACTGTTTCACTGCAGATCCTGCTTCTTATAGTGTAAAAGGGCAAACATGTATTACCCACTGATTACATTTGTGTCTGACACTTACAGCCTTGTTATTTTTTTGTTTTCTTTAGACAAATCCAGTGTTTCACCATTTCACTACTCGAATTAGAAAGTTAAAACATAGAAAGAACAAAATTTTTGTTAAGTTGGTATTTAAAAGTTGCTTAAAACGAATAAAGACCAATTAAAAAGAAAACATCATCATGGTCATTTGCATGATGCACCTAATCACTCATAGATTCAGAAGATCCAAAAATGACAATAAAAGAAAAATAGCAAAGAATATATCAATGCTCTATATTGCCATATTTCTTTCCAGACCGCAACAAATAATTCAAGCTTGCCAGTGGTTGTTATTGATAGAATTGATTCTGGCAGAGGAATATGACTGCAGAGTATATGGGCTGAGTGGTTGAACAGTTGATGTCATAATGCTAAAGGGGGGGATTTATTTCTAGTTTATACGCACGCTATTTTATACAGTTACTAAGACTAAAAGGCTTTGGTTTAATATCTAAATAGCTGGGGAATGTGGATTGTTTGAAAAAAATCCTTACATTTTTCCAATTTCTTGTGTTGCAACACAAATTTTAAGTTATTTTGGGGGGGATTTTAGAAAACAGACCAACACAAAATACTGTATAACAGAGACATTAAAATGACACAAAAACAATATTTGGCTGATATTGTGGTCCAATCAGATCAGAACTCCTGCAAAATGTTATCGTCATCAAATCACTATCTCTCCTTTCCCTGCAAAGATTAAAAAAAACAAAAACTTTCCAATAGCATGACTTTGTCACTACTGTATTCAAATATTTATTCCTTAATTGCCCCGCAGTTTAGTTGATCAGCCCTTGTCATCTGGATTTAGGACCTATCTTCCTATTTTTATTCACTGTCTGTACTGAAGAGAATCCTTCC